ATAATTCCGTCATTCCTTCTTTTTCAGTCTTAAAAAAATGTTCTTAGATACTATGTCCACCAGTGAGGATTTCGTGCGCCAATGTCGATCTTTCTCGACACTGCTTCAGAACTTATTCATTTGAGATGATATAATGTTCAAGAATAAATTTATTTTATTATAATGAATTGTAAGATTAGCATGAAGAATGCTTGTCATGACAGCGGTAACATACCGGATGACATTTATCTGACCATTATTATGTCATGCGAAGGGATAGCTCGGACTCAACAATGAAAGTTGAACTAAGTGTTATGAAATTACATGAAATTTGGTGTGGAATTATTTGAAATTTGCAATAAATCATTCATTAATGCCTTTATCCGGACATTTCATAAAACGGGTAAAGCAGTTTCTGATCGGCTCGAATCGGGATTATTACCGTAGTTGAAATTGGTATTTATCAATGAAATGAAAACTGTGCTTTAGAAAATATCGAAATTATAATACAGCCGATGGCAAAGCTGATAGTATATCTTGCTTTTTTCATCTGTTGCCAAGCTGCAGGCCAAAACGCAGCTGGAGGAGGAGGAGTGGGTGGAGCAGCAGGTATTTACCTCATCTTTATTGCCACTCTAATTTCCGCCTTCCCACCGCAAAAAAAAAAGTTTCAGAAGTCTGCTACTTATATATTACATCCTATAATCATTTCAACTATTCATTTGAGATTCTCGTAAAACAGTTATCAGCTCGAATCCCACTGTGTTTTACTTTGGCGGTATAGACAGCAAGTGTTACCTTATCACCTTATTGCTTCGAGGGAAAAAATTTTGAAGACGTGGAAAACAAAATTTCAAATGACTCTTATTGTTATGGGCTGATAAGTTAAGACGATAGTAATAACCATTTAAAATCTCGAAGATTCCCTTCTTGTTTAATTACTTTTATCAGACTAACAGCAGCATTAATTTCAGTTGCAGAGGTTATCACAGATTATAAAGCTGATAAGTTATGGGAAGATGGTCGATTAATAGTGACGACAAAAGTAGAAGAATGTACGTTCATTTTATACAGAATTGATCTATGAATATTATTTAATAGTGAATCATTTCGAGAACTTTCATTTTACAATCTTCCAAGTTTCATTCGCTGGCTTCTTTTGTTTTAAGGATGAAATAAATTTGCATAATTATTTCTGCACAATGATTGCAGCAATGCTGATGAATTATGGCATAGTGGAAGATGGAAGATCGTTTATTTTGGAGGATAAACCGTTTTTGTTTGTGGGGAATTCTCTTGACTTAATAAAATGAAGTCAGGAGAGCTGTAGATGTACAAGTGATAAAGATTGATGATCACAGTCATTGATTTGAATAACCAAAGGCATAACTGCAGAGAATGCAAAATTGTGATTCCAAAATAATATCAAATTAGAAATGTGATTCATCAATTTGTTAGGTTCTGTAAATATTTTTGCCGATTTTTCACGATAAAATATTACCAAATTTATCCGTAACATTCAAAAAACTTTTACAATAAAATTCGGATCCATTTGAAAAGAAATCACTTCCTATCCTTAGATATAATTGCTCTTC